CAACTCTCATTTTGATGTTTTTTTGTTTTAAATATAATGACACCAGCAGTTTGTTCTTGGGGAGGTTTTTGGTTTCTGTTTTGTTGTTGGTTTTTGTTTGGCTTTTTTGTTGTCGTTTTGTTTTACAGGGACTGTGTTTACAACAGCCTAAACTAGGTGAAAATGTTCTTAGTACTAAACAGCTCCTGTATTTCTTCTCCAAAGAAATAAAGATGCCTTTCATATTTTCTAAGGCTGACAATGTTGAAGAGGCTAAGATACATCAAAGACTGAAGGAAAAGAGGAAGGGACATGCTGTAACTACCAGTTTCTTTAGGGAAAGATGTGGGATGAGACTAGGAGTGCCTTGACATACAGGAGAAGGCAAAGGGTCTGAAGGAATTTGGGAACTTGATTTAGTTTCCCAACCATCTTAGAGATGGTTAAAAAGAGACTTAAGTAAAAGCAGTTTGCGCAAGAAGATGTAGCTTTCAGGCAAAATAACACTTGAATCAAATGCATAATAAATAGCCTGAAGAAGGGCACTGAATTTGGTCATTGAATTTGTGATCATTTGATCTGAGTGGCTTAAGGCTTTGCATGCTTCATACTTGCAAACCAGCTGTAAAATGCAAGAAATACAAGTAGCCACGGTCTGACATTTCCCCATCTGTTCCCAATATTTAATAATTTGCTCTCTTCTCTGAGCATATTAAGTTTATTTATAAATTTGAAAAATATGAGCTTAAAGCTATAATGGCCTTTTTGCTCCAAATTGCTCAAAGCACCCTTCTTTAGCAGATGGAGGGTATTAATTTTTCTGCAGGAATTTGTGTATAAGGTACAAATGGCACACCAGGATTTTGCCTTGCTGTTCTGCATGCATTTCTATTCTCTAGAGCTGCTGTGCAGTACGTGACTGTTTTGAAATGCCTAAATTCTCTTTTGCCTTGCTTTAAGGATGATGGAGAGTGAGAAGTAAAGTCTAGTTCTCGCAGCTGAGACTAGTGCTTTAATAACTGGAAAACCCCCTTCCCTTTAAAAAGCTTGCTAAGAATCATCCACAACATGTTGGAATCAGTAAGATTTTTTGCTGTTGAGCTGAACAGTACTAAACACAACTAAATGGTACTTCAGTTAAGAACTACTTTTAAAACATTTTAGGGAAGGCTTGCTCTCACATATGAGATTACAAGTGCTGTTGATAAGAAAAACATACTGGATCTAAATGTCACTGTACCCCAAAACTGGCAGATTAAAATCTCCAGATTTATGCTGGTAGTACCCCACCTTAGCTAATGCTGTGTTTGCACTCATTCTGTGAGTGGGAGGTGGTTGCTCTGCATAACCCAGAATGCTACACTGAGAAGAAATGCTGACATAAATACCCCTCTCTCCTCTGTGCTTCGTAACTTTGATTTCTACAGCACAGTATCAAATATTTTATTCTTTAGTGTTAATAATTTTGGGGATGTTTCAAACTAAAGATTTGAAATAAAAATATACCACGGGCTGCCACCTGCACCTGCTTATCTTTGTGTAGCGATCCAGTGAAGTGAATGAAAATACATCAATTTATGTAAAGATTCAAGCTGGTTCAAAAGGGGTTGTTTTTCAAAGATAAAATTCAGTAAAGGCAAGAGGGTTTTCAATTTAATAATACTTTGTTATAATATATGGATTGATTCACTATACTTTTGTTTCCCAGCACAGTGAAGATAAAAAGGCGAGCTGGTTAGATGGGTGAGCATAATTCTTTCACGGTGAAAGAATCCTTTCTGGGTTTTGTTTTGGATGCATTTGCACTCTGTCAAGACAATTTTGTTTATAAACCAGCAAAAATCGCTGGTGGCTACAAATTAATTTCACTTTTACCAAGATTCTTAACTCTTCTAAAAAGTGACCAGGTTCCTATGTAAGCTGAAAATTAATAATTCTAATGAACTTGGTGTTTAAGTAAGCTGCTAAAATTGATATAGTAGTATATATTTAAAAACATAATTGTAATGGTGAGAATAAAATCAATCACAAACCATAAGAAAAATAGATATCTTCAAACCAGCCTAACATCATTTTCTGAGGAAATTACAAGTTTGGTTAAGGAAAGTAACCAGATAAAGGAAGATATTTAGGCTTCTGTAAATCTTATGGCTATTACATGAAGAAAATTATAGTTCATCTATATGGAAAACATTAATTAGGAGCTGGGTGATAGACTTGTCTTAAAATAGCTGTCAAAAGAAATTTTAATCAAATAGCAATATTTCCAGGACTGTTATATATCAACATGAAGCTTGGCATTAATTGGTATTATTCACTGTATCATCACTGTTATCACACTGTTGATGGCAGAATGCCAACCAAGGGCAAACCTGTTCTTTTGGGTGACTTGGATTGCAAAGTAGGATTGGAGCTGGAAAAATAAAATCTTTCATTATATACCCAAAAGCAAAGTAATAAACCAGGTACCAGGGACTATGAACTGTGTCTGGTGATTAAGAGAGGTATTGTGAAAGCAGACACTGTGAAATGTGTTTGGGTATCATTGTGGAGAAGCAACTGAACACATGACATAAGTAGTGCAGCAGAAAATGGAATTTGAGAGGGTGTTCACCTCTGCATGGCACTTCTGACTTGGTGCAGGACTGCAGCATGCAGCTCTAGCTCCACATTTCTAAAATTCTACTGAAAACTGGCAACATGTAGGTACTGCCCAGCAAGGGAGATGATATATAGATTCAGTGGATCTACAGCTACAGGATCTGTGACTGACTCCTTATAGATCCTGTGCCCATGGTAGTTATGTGTCCATGTGTCCGTCCAGACAGCTGTAAACCAGATGAGGTTTTGGTCTTCATTTTGGGGGGAGCCTTAAGAGAGAAGGATTTCATCTCCCAGGTTTTGCACTTATTGTGGAGAGTATTGCTGATTTTTGCAGCAATTCAGTCTTACTCCTCATTTCCATGCAGTACTAAGCCAAACTACTGCCCCGCTTCATTATCTCGGATCTCTCAAGGATAAAAATGAGCACAACCTAAGTGGTACTGAAGTGTTGAAGACACTAAAAGCAGCATGAGTCTTATAATCTGAACTATGTTAAAAAAATACTTACCACAGAAGTTGTGCTATCACAGGTATATCTTGAACATCCCTGGACTCTACTGCATTGTGGCCTGTTAAACCCTTAAGTGAGTGTCTGTGTAAGGACACTTGGGAATGCTAATTCACAGCTACTGTTCATTCAAATTAATTTTCCTGAGGTTTCCTGTTTAGGAAAGACTAAATTTATTACAGGAGGTCTGGCTAACAGCCCTGAAATGGAATTTATCACAAGTATGAGCATTTCAATGACATTCCTGTTACAAGCCCTCGCCACAAAAATTTTTCTTTGAACACTCCACCTCTATATCCTAAAAATTACACAGGTAAATCCCTAGTCTTTCACACATATTGAAAAGCCTACTAAGTGTAAAAAATACTGTAATAAGTGAACAAGTATAAAAAGTTGTTTTGGCTGAGATGTTTTCGAGAGGTAATACAACAAAATTAAAATCAACCCATTCCCCTGGAAAAACACTAATACATGTAGCACTGCAGTGGTTCCACAAGATGTTTCTCAAAGTTTAACGCAATTTCTGGAATAGCTTTTTAGAATGGTTTTCACAGAAATTGCTGAAGGAAGGAGATGTTACCTGAATTAATAATAAAAAAAAATGTGTGAGGCGGATGGTACAGAGATCTAGGATCTAATTTCTGTCAGACTTCAACTGTGGCCATTCATCTGCCTTTGAATTTTCTACGTGAGGATAACAAAACCAGCTTTGGAAAAACTCCCAGCTCTCCCTATGATCTTTAAGCAATTTCTAAGCACTCTGTGGATAAAGAACTGGCTGGATGGCCACACACAAAGAGTTGTGGTCAATGGCTCAATGTCCAGCTGGAGACCAGTAACGAGTGGTGTCCTTCAGGGATCAGTGTTGGGACCGGTCTTGTTCAACATCTTCGTCGCTGACATGGACAGTGGGATTGAGTGCACCCTCAGCAAGTTTGCCGATGACACCAAGCTGTGTGGTTCGGTTGATACCCTGGAGGGAAGGAATGCCATCCAGAGGGACCTCGACATGCTTGTGAGGTGGGCTGATGCCAACCTCATGAAGTTTAACCATGCCAAGAGCAAGGTCCTACACCTGGGTCGGAGCAATCCCAGGCACAGCTACAGGTTGGGCAGAGAAGAGATTCAGAGCAGCCCTGAGGAGAAGGACTTGGGGGTGTTGGTCAATGAGAAAATGAACAAGAGCCGGCTTCAGTGTGGACTCACAGCCCAGAAAGCCAACCGTATCCTGGGCTTCATCAAAAGGAGTGTGACCAGCAGATCGAAGGAGGTGATCCTGCCCCTCTACTCTGCTCTTGTGAGACCTCACGTGGAAGATTGTGTGCAGTTCTGGTGTCCTCAACATAAAAAGGACATGGAACTGTTGGAACAAGTCCAGAGAAGGGCCACGAGGATGATCAGGGGACTGGAGCACCTCCTGTATGAAGACAGGCTGAGGAAGTTGGGGCTGTTCAGCCTGGAGAAGAGAAGGCTGTGTGGAAACCTCATAGCAGCCTTCCAGTATCTGAAGGGTGGCTATAGGGATGCTGGGGATGGATGCTTCATTAGGGACTGTAGAGACAGGACAAGAGGTAACAGGTTAAAAATTAAACAGGGGAAGTTTAGATTGGATATAAGAAGGAAATTCTTTCCTGTTAGGGTGGTGAGGCACTGGAATGGGTTGCCCAGGGAGGTTGTGAATGCTCCATCCCTGGCAGCATTCAATACCAGGTTGGACGAGGCCTTGGGTGAGATGGTTTAGTGTGAGGTGTCCCTGCCCATGGCAGGGGGCTTGGAACTAGATGAACTTAAGGTCCTTTCCAACCCTAACTATTCTATGATTCTATGATTCTATGTTTTGGGTTTCTTTTGACAAAGAAAAGTCCATGGTATTCTTAGAGCTGTCTAAAACATTTTGACATGGAGCTGCAATACAATTTTCCTTTGAAAAATTTCATTTTCAAGTAGAAAATCCTCACAGTTTGTGGGGGATTGGAAAGTCTCCAGTCAGATTTTTTCTTTTTTCTTTTTTTTTTTTTTTAAGAAAAGCAACATGAAAAGAGCAATGACTTTCTTGCTGAAAATAAGCAAAGACTGACATTAAAGTGCAGCTTTGAGAAAGCCATTCTGGATTTCTGTCTAGCATACCACAATAACTGAAATCTGCATCTTATGTTAGCTGTCTTTCTTTTCTTTTTTTCAACTTTTTTACTTCTATAACTACCCTCTTATTTTTCTTTTTTTCCTTATGCATTTTATTTTTTAAATTTTAATTGTATGTCAGCATTTCATTATTCTTTTAAATCCTTCCCTTCCTCACTCATAATTTTAAAACTCTCTACATTTATTTGACTACTTTTTTTCTTCATTTTTTTCTTTCTTTATCCTCTTTTGTTCATCTGTTCTTTAATCTATTTTTTTTTGCATAAGCTCCATTTTTAGAAATCCTGAAATTCTCCAGTTTCTGGTATGCTCTTCTTTCCCCATGGAAGATGGATAGTCAAGGTAGACAGGAGACTACTCTCTTGGTCTCTGCTTGCACAAGGACATTGGGTTTGTGTGGCAAGGGTGTGGTAGCAGGGGGGCTATAGAGGTAGCTTCTGCAAGAAACTGCCAGAAGCTTCCCCTGTGTCCAGTGGATTCAATGATGGTGGGCTCTAAGGCTCTAAGGCAAGGCCAAGCCCTTGGAGTTAGCGCCTTGGGGATAACATAGTTAAGAAGAGGGAAAAGTTACTGACAGCAGCAATTGCAGCCAGAGAAAGGAGTGAGAATATATGAGGGAAACAGCCCTGCAGACCCTAAGGACAGTGAAGAAAAAAACAAACAAAACATAAAAGATCTGTTGCTTTGAATACAAGAAGCACTGTTTCTCTGCAAGTGTTTTCTACAAGGGAAAGTTGCAAGGGCAGCATTTGTGAGCTTTAAATGATGAGTGCAGAACTGCCTATCTTCCCCAATCAATGATTCTTTCAGTGAATATGATCATGAAGGAAACTGAATTCCTATGCTAATTGGTGCACGCATTGACTCTTAGAAGTTAACGGTAACCCAGGCAGAATCAAAAGCAACTTCTGCTGGTTTTTGGTGGTTGGTGTTGTGTAATAGTACTGTTTTAGAAGAAGAACAGGTCCCTAAGAGTGTGTGTGATTGTGACCTTGGATGTCAGACCCAATTCAGGGGTGGCATTTATTGGTGGCTCAGCCCAGTGAAACTAATGGCCAAAGAAGATGCCACAGGGGCTCTATCTTTTTATGTAGCTGCACTCTCCCCTAGGCTACTTCCCTGGCTCAATCCCTCCCCTACCCAGCCTAGAAATCCATTTCGTTTTCTTATTTAAGATTCCATAGACCTTTCATATTTAATATTAGTATAAAGGGAAAACCGCACCTCAGGAGAAAGATCAGAGTTGAGGCATCAGATTCATTCTTCCCTTAATGAAGAGGAACAGCAGGATGGATAAAAATCAGTGACTTAAAAAATAAATTGGTTTTTTAATTTAAGAAAATCTTTATTGAGTAAAACTATTTAAAATTAAGTTTTAGGCCTATATTTAGGGCAGTTTATTCTGATGTATTAAATCATTCAAGGTTTAAAGAAAAAAATCCCAAAACGTGTTGCTGGCAAGGTGCTTGCATCAGGCCAGTGAGTCACTACTCATTAGCAGTGAAAAGAAAATAGTTGTTTCTTGGTTCCAATTACCTCATCCAGTGACTAAAGTCAACGCAGAGAAAATTGAGATATTTGTTTTCACTGTGTAGTCTTCAGTTATTTTCCTAAAAAGATAGCAATTTATTCCCCCCCCCTCCCCCCTTGGAATTAAATATAACCCTTTTGCTGGCACTGAGCACTGAGTCTGAAAAAGCAGGATGCCTATTTTCTTCCACTACCTATGGCTAAAAATGAAGTGTAAGATGAGACCTAATAATTTTAAAATCTTGAATGATATAATAGTCAGAAACAGCCATTGCAAATCACTTTAATAAGCCTTCCTTTGTTGATTAAAATTATTTGTTTGAAAAGCAAAATATATTTTTTTTAACTTTGCAATTTTCCTCTTGAGGGCACTTACATTAACTTGTATTTATAAATATTGATTTTAATCTATATTTTTCCAGAGTATTATCTTCTATAACATGCTTTAATAAATGTGTATAATTAGAAAACTATGTATGTAGACATAATAAAACAGTTATATTTAGTAGTAAATCAACATGTTCTAAAAGTTACCAGCCCGAAATAATCAGTTTCTCTTTAGGAAGACAACTCAGAAGTATCAATGCAAAACAAGACAAAAAAAAAAAAATCTTGTTAAAAATAAAAATAAAATAAATCAGCAAGTTTTCTGTTTGGAAGATCATGATTCTTTCTCAGGCTGTTCTGTTCTAAACATTCGTACAACTTGCTAAGAAGCCCAGAGGTCTAGCTCAACAGGGTTTAATATGCAACCCATAAGCACATGTAATAGCACAGGTTTTTGACAGCAAAAATCACAGTACTACCATGTCCTGGCATGTCCCTGTCAGTCTTGAAAAACAACAGCACATTCTCTAGGCATCTGCCATGAAGGAGATGTTGTTGATACGTGTGTGTGAGCTGTTGTTAGGAGGAGACTATGTAAGAAATGAGCCTGATTTTTGCATGCATGTTTGTTTTCTGTTTAATTCAGAAAACTGTGACTGCCTGTCCTACCTTAGCAAGATGTCTGTCTGGGTTAGAGAAATACAAGCAGCCCCTGCAGATGCGATACTGCTCCTCAATCTGCAGAAGCAAATTAGAAACAGGAATTGGAGGGGGAATTTGCTCAGAAGGCAGAGCAGCTCTTCACAGCACAAATTAAAATCTTGCCACTTGTTTGGGACTGGTCTCAATGCACACACACTTCATTTGGTCCATGGATATTATTCCAGTTGTTTCCAGTGTGAGTGAATGGAAACACATCCACTGTGGCCTGAAGATGTGCTAACTGCTTTCAGTCCTCACTGGAATGAAGGCCTTTGCACTAGAGGGCAAAATTCACTTTGAAGTTGAAGAGTTTTACTCTGTCAGATCCTGAAAAAGGTAATGTAAACCGTCACTGAGCACTGAGGGGTAAAGGCCTAACTTGGATTTGGATTCTGATTTTTAACTCTGCTGTATTATGGGGTAGGGGGAAGCTCTGTTATCTTTTCAGCACGTACAATGTGTGTGTGTGTGTGTGTGTGTGAAAGCAAATACTATTGCACAAAGAAATGATCTTCACATTTGCATATGCAGTTGTTTCAGGATTTACCCCAGTTCAGATTATTGATAGGAGTAATATTTCTGTTTACTCATCAATACCCTCTTTTGTTTCTTTTGTAAAAGCTTTTTTCCCCTCCTCTTCCCCCACTCCCATCCCCCTGTTGTCTTTGTGCCTAGTATTTTTCCACACTTTATTTCCTAAAAGACGAGCGGGTTTGACGATGCATTGTGATTTCTTTTCTACAGGGCTTTATGAAGGAAGCTGGAGGCAGTTCTCATTAGTCTCACTGACATCTTTTATCACTTATCAGAGGAACAAGCAAACGGAGAGCAATTCCTTTGATCATGGCAAAAGTAGAAAGAGTATTAAAAACCCTATGAAGATTCACTAAGTAGAAAGTAGAAAAGACAGTCTGTGGCATGTTTCAAAGAAGTAACATGATTTAAAGTTGCCAGATTTACTGGTATATATTAAAGAATTGTTAATGATACTACATTTTACATGCATCCTTAGGTCCTTGGTTGTTTTTGTTTTGTTTTTTTTTTTTGTTTGTTTTGTTTTGTTTAAAAAAAAACTGGCAAAGATGTTCTTAGGTAGAATGGATGGATTAGATCAATTGGAAAATATCTCTAAAAGGTGAGCTGTGTCAGAAAGAAATTCTGTGATTCAATGAAAATTCTTGAAAATAAAAATAAGGCTGTAACAGTGGCACAATGGATTGAAAAAGAAACCTGTTCTCATGGGAGAATGTTAAGAAATCTGAAGAATTCCTCTTCTTTTGGAAGCATTCTGTGGTGAATCAATGTATGTTTGTGAAGACCGCATGTAGGAACTGCAGTGCTTGGAATTATCCAGGTATACCTGGCTGCCTAACTCCGACCTTAGAGCTCCACAGCTTCCTTGTTCTACGGAAAAATAAGATTTTTCTTGATGGTTCTGAATATTTATTCAGGTAGCAAGATGTCCTGGTTTTGTGCCTTGCATCATTACCAACAGGGCAGGGAGAAAAAGGGAAGCAAATATATCCTTCTGCCTACAACTACTGAGCATTACACAGCCTAGATCCACCAGCGCTTTTCTGTATGGCTACAGCTCAGTTATCCACTGTTTTTAAATCCCTTTCCAATTTCTGCATGTGATCAGCTCGTATCTCAAAGCATCAGATTTAAATTGCTTTTGAAGACCCTTGTCTTAACCTGTGAAAATACAAAGATCAAAATTATTTAAGCATTTTCTGTCAGCATAGACACAGTGCCAGCTTTGTCCCTTTGTGTAGTGTTTTTCACTGCCATAGCTGGTTTTCAAATATGTTGAATTCGATTTAGACATGACGCAATGTAGTACATTTCTACCACACCTTTTATGAAAGCATCCCCAGAGCACTTTCTGATCAAGCTAAAATTATCTCTGAACTACATACAAATTCCTAAAATATTAATTTAAAAAACTGACAAAAAGAATTTTGAAATGCATGCACTCAGTTCAAAGTTAAAATAGGCAGAGGGGTGAGTTCTCTCTTACTCCAGAGTAACAGAGGAGGACCTAACTCAGTGTATTGCTTTGTAACAGGGTTGGAGTGTGATTCTCCAAGCAGTGCAGTGCGCTGCTCTAACAGTACTGAGCAGAATTAATTGCATGACTGCTGTAAATGACCTGGAGGTTGCAGGTGAAGCAATATATAAGTGGTTTGTCAGAACTCCATTTATGTACACATTGTTCTAACATTTGCTGCTTCTGTGAGGAAGTGAGGAAGCCACACAATTCTTTGTGATACGTGGCCTCAGTCATCCTTGAGGAAGACAGTGGGAGGAATAAACAAATAGCTTTGAGGGATGTGACTCATGGATCCAAAATGATACAAATCTTCTTGCCAGAGCAAGGGGCTTGAAGATAAAGCAAACTCCAGTTGGTTTCTCAGGATTAAAGAAAGAAGATTGTTGCCAGAAGTTGGAGGGAGGGACAGGCTGACAACAGGGTGACATGCTGATGAAGGCTAAGAGTTAGATCTCTTCCTAGACCTAGAGATCTTGATGAAAATCAGACTATCATATGATCTATTTAATTGTTGTAAAACTTTCTTTTGAAAGTCTTTTCACTTAAATAAATGTTCCTTTAAGGCAGTATTTTGATCACTAGTGCTGCTCCTTCATGGAAGAGATCTATAGGGCCTGAAGCATTGAACCTGCTGAGAAAATTAGAAGAGAGACTGCTACCTGGTGATGGTCTGAACTAGCAAGGGAAGTGAACATACTTAGCTCTGTGCATGCCTGTTAACGGCTCTGCCTGCACCAAAGGTGGTGGTCAGGGTGGTGAAAGTCCAGCTCCATGGCTTGTCCTTGCAGCTTGCATAGTGAGACAAAGGTCATTAGTGGCAACCTGAAATCATGGCAATTGTGTGACCAGTGCATGTGCTTTGAGGGTCAGCTGCAATAGGCAGGCAATCCTCCAATGGCAGGGAAAAAAGGAAGAAATCTTTTACAGCCACATGGCTAGGAAAGACAGCATTTGAAGTCTGGCATTTGTTACAAAGAAAAATGAAAAAAATCGTCAAAGTCGGATTTTTAAATGCAACTGTGCAAGGAGACACAAACTCTTGTAATCATGGCTAATGCATTAACCAAGTCACACATTTTGTGGAGATTTGTTTTCTAACACCTCATGGCCCCCAACTGTAGCTGAAAACTTACTACAGAGTGCAGCTAAGCTGTACTACAGCATGGCAGGAAGGGCTGGAAGTGTGTATGTCTGAAAACTTCATTTTAGGCTGAGCTTTTTAGGTGCCTTTGGCTATATGCGCTCCTGTGAAATTATCAACTTTACTAAAACAGAAAGACAACATGTGGTGAAGATGTACATACAGAATACAGCCTCCAGTGAATAAATCCCATTTGGGCATGAGGAAAGAGCAACAGTATAGCTCAATTAGGAAGTTAAGGGCACCTCTGGAGCCTGTCCTGCCTCAGCCAGTCCTTTGTGTTGTGGTGAATCAATTGTCAAACACGGCAACAGCGAGATGATGTCTCAAGCACATTATTTATAATTTAGAGACCTTTCCACAGCTAATAAATTGATCTACTTTGCTTCAAATATAATTGCAGAGAGAAGGTGTGTGGAGCCACATAGTGACATTGTAAAACAGATGCAAAGTAGTAGCTATCAATACACCCAATGGAAAGACTGAAACTCAGGACTGACATGCAAATAATCCACCCAGCTTTTCCATGTGCTTCCTCTGACTGTGATTGCCTGTGTAATTGTTCTTTGTCTTGGCATTCACTCATTTCTGTTTATTGTGTTTACTGCTCCTCTCTGTTGTGAGCATCAGTGTGGCAGAAATAGGGAAAACATGCTGAGATCAGATGAAGTGTCTCCCTCACACTGTCTCCATGCAGTGCCTCTTGAGTATTGAAGAGCTTTGGGGTAGCAGCAGCAAACAAAGGCTGTTTCAGGGTGTTCTGCCTTCCCAAAGGGAAATGAATTCCTTTCCTATACAGGAGATTTATATTGCGAATTAAGTCAGTTATCATTAAGCTACTGCACAGCAGGACAAATCATAATTTTAAATACATTTAAAATATATCCTGATGCAGTACAAATCAAGCCTCTTACAGCTGCTATGTGGACCAGTCAGAAGAATATGGAGCATAAAAATCGAGGAATAAGTGAGTTGGGTTTACTGCTGCTTGTCAAGACCATATAATTTATATCATTGTTTACTTGCAACCAAGTATCCTCACTGCTGTCTCCTCAGGATAATAAAAACATAAATGCATAAACCAAAATGAGTTCTTCCTGTCAGTCTGAGTTACTTTTTTTACCTTAAAAATCTGCATGTCTCTGTTCTCCAGAGGAGATGAAATGAATGGAAACTTATAGCCTTCTTTTGCCAGAGTTTCCCAACATCAGCCCTAAAAATGCAGCCATCTATTATGCAATTAACCAACCATTTCTTTGCTTCTTCCAAGGTTTCTTCTGTCTCTTCAAACAAATAGCAAACTCTTCTTCCTGGCTCTGCCTTTTTTGAGTCTTCTCTTTTTGATCATCACAATTTGGTTTCATGGCAGACTTAATAACCTCATGGGCACCAGAGCTCTATGGCAAGGTTTATGCAGATTTAAAGGCTGGATTAATCTGGCCTGGTATTTGTAAAATGTTCTGAACATGTGAAGCACTATAAAAGCACTGTATATTATTACCAAGTCCATGGAAGTTTGACCTGCTAACTGAGCACACATTTAAGCTGCTGTTCCCGGAGGTGAGGTGCAGTGACAGAAACAACCAAACCCACGTCTCATCTTCTAAGATTGTACCTCTCTCTCTTTTCTTTCTTTTTGTCTCTTTTTAATTTTCCTTACAGGATTTCTGGAAAAAAAATTAATAGGAAGGAGGGAGACCTTCTTCAAAGATTTCATCTCATGAGACTATTCTGTCAAAGTCTTTAGCATAGTTGTCCTTTGTTTTGCTGCCACTGGACTGCCCAGCTCCTGCATCCTGTTTCCTAAGCGCTTAAAAGCTAGCAGTTTCTGCAGAAACCTTTTCAGGAAAAAAAAGAAACCCCCCCCCCCCCCCCCAAAAAAAAAAAAAAAAAAAAAAAACAAAAACAAAAAAACAAAAAAAAAAAAAAAAACAAAAAAAAAAAAACAAACAAAAAAAACAAACAAACCAACAAACCATTAAAAAAAAAAACAAAACAACAAACAACCCCAAAACAAACAAACAAACAAAAAACAAAAAAGAAAACCCGACAAAAAAAAAAACAACAAAATTTCCATGCAGGAAGGCTGCTTTCGAACTCTGGGCTGCAGATAGCATGCAGTGGGGGAGAAGTCAGTTTTCAGATCTTGGCCATCCCAGCACCCCCATAAAAATCACTAGCAGAACTCAGGGAACTGTAAGCCAATGCTAGCCAGACCTGCTGTGTTTTACAGGGCTGCTTCAAAAAAACATTTCTATGTTTTGCTACAGATGAAGGAGATGACTGACAACTACAGTCCAGATTTAGCCATCATGTCTTCCTCTTCCATGTTATCAACAAGGGGACAAAGCTAAAAATCAATGTGTGTATGTATGGTGTTTGCAGTATATTTGTACCTTCATATACCTAAGTTAATGGAGCTTTAGAATATTTTATAGTAGTTGGATTCAAAACAGGATCAGCCCTCGTTTTCACACTCGGGAGTGCAGCTATCTAAAATGGAGTCAATGAACTTTCCCTGGCACTGTTCAGAAGGCATTAAGGGTCCATTTATTTTTACTTCCCTCCCCCCATTATTTGATAGTTCTTTTAAGAGTTGTGAGTTTTACTTGGTTCCTTTTGATCAGAAGGAAAAGGTACTGCAGGAACTGAGACACTGCAGTGACTCTGGCTTTGAACTCACCAGGTCTAAAAGCCTGCAAGAACATTTTCTCTTTCAGCTTTCTAGCCAGCTCAGAGAGCTGGCTGATAAAGGGGTATGTTAAATTGTCCTGAAGGACAGCTGGAAATCTAGGCGCTGCAGTCTGAACTAAAAATGGAATTG